TATATATATATATATATATATTTTCCTCCGCACATTTGTTCCTTCAATTGATCCTTGCATATATAAAGCATAAGTTCTTTGTTTCCGTTCATCCTGGACAACACAGAATAAACGACACTCTCGTTGCAATTGGACTTCGTTTGATTCTCATCTTTAGAAGAGGTTTTAGCACTCATTCGAGTGGCTTCATCATGTGGAGCTTCGAGTGGTCTTCAATCAAAGAGGAAAAAGTCCAGTTATAACAGCTGCATTGTAAATGACTACTTGAGCTCTTTAAGTGCAAAATTCAGATGATATCTGAACAGTTGGGCACCCTTCATACTGCATATGGGAGTTGTATAGTGACGTTTCAGATTCCAATAAATACCTGTTTGTTCTTGTCTGGTCACTTCCAACTCTCTTTGGGGCTCAATAAAGAGCAGATCACTATCGTACTGCATATGTTCACATACAGTATACTGACTAATTTCTGTTGCTGCACCGCTGAAAGTATTCTGGCTGTATCGGTGACTGTTGTGGGAGTAGTGTGGTAAAATTAGCTCATCACCGGCTGTGCTACCGAACATTAGGGATATCTTGAATGCCTTAAGAAGGCCAGGTGTGTTCTCAAGGACCTCAGTCACCCAAAATAGAACCTTTTCTGCCTGAAATCTTAATTAAACCGTCAAAAACCAACATGTATCTTAAGACATGTTTTTCTTGGAGAGGGTTTCTTTCATGTTACAATACGTTAGTACATTTACCTGTTCTTACCGTTCTTGTCTCTCTGAATAGGAGTCACTATGGAGATGCAGAATTTGGTGCAGAGGAGAATCTACCCCTTCCTTCTGATGGTAGTGGTGCTGATGGGTATCCTCTTTTTCCAAATCCGACAATTCAAGCGCCTTTATGAGCACATCAAGAATGACAAGTGAGTCCTGAGTGTCAGAAATTAACTACTTTCTTCAGAGCCAATACTTGCTGATACAAATGTCTAGTGGATTTGATTTTCAGAGATATTTTAGTACCTTGAGAACATTTTTAATAGTGTGCCACCCATTTGCTCTACCTTTCAAAGATTTGGGGACAGATTTTGTTTTATGAAATAAATATAATAGAAAATACTTTACTCAGCAAGGATGCATTAAATTCTGATAGTAAATTGACCGTAAAGTACATTTATAATGTTATAAAAGATTTCTATTACAAATAAACATTTGATTTTTTTTATTCATCAAAGAATCCTGGAAAAAAAGTGTAATAGTTTCCACAAATATATTAAGCAGCACACCTGTTTTCAACATTGATAATAATAAGAAATGTTTCTTGAGCAGCAAATCAGCATATTATAATGGCTTCTGAAGGTTCATGTGGCACTAAAGACACTAATGATGCTGAAAATACAGCTTTGCATCACAGTAATAAATTGCACTTTAAAGTATATTAAAATAGAAAACAGAGAAAATTGTAATAAGATTTTACAATAAATAAATGCAGCCGAGGTGAGCATAAGGGACTTCTTACATAAAAAAAAAAAAGGTCCCACTTTTGAATAAAAATGAAGTCTGTCACTTCACACCTTATTTACTAATGGCGGGGCTGTGTGTTTTGTTCTTTATTCATCCATGCAGGTACCTTGTTGGACAGAGACTTGTGAACTATGAACGAAAAGCTGGCAAGCTCAGCACTACCACACACAGCAGTTCAGTGCAGGAGTAAAGAGTTTGGGATTGCTTTGGAGTCACTCTTTTTGTGTGTGAGCGAGCGAGCATGTGTGAGCATGCATGAATGACTGAATGAGCCTTTCTCTCCTGCTCCCTCTTTGTGCGTCCATACATCCAGCATGCCCACTATGACTGACTTCTGGCCTCTGACCCTGCCGCAAAAAAAGGGGGAAAGAGCCATGTACATAAATGGGGCGAAAGAGTGAATCCCTACAGCCAAATGGAAAAAATGAAAAAACAACAAAAAAAATATTAAGTATGTGTATTAATTTATTAAATCTAGTTGTTACCTTATTTGTGGAGCTTTGTTCGTGGCAAGACTCGACCCACATGGTTCCTTTCATCACCCTCGTGGAGAGGCCAGTCAGACTCCAGGGATGAAATGTCTGGGTCATAATGGAGCTGGACTGTCACATTAGTACCTTTTTATTTATTAGTTTAGAATTTTCATTGAAATACGATCTTGGTGTTTTTGAATGAGAGGGTCTTGTTTGATTTGATGCTTTCGGTAGCGTGTCTTACCTTCATTTCTCGATGCTTTAACCTCCCTAATTTTATGTGCAGAACAGAAGTGGATGGAGGCGGATTTAATGGTTATGCCACACCCATCTGCTTCCTGTCATGTGGAAAAGAGGGAATTTAGTTTCACAAAACAGTTTGTCCACGACTGTTGTTGACCAATTCAAGAACATAGAAGCACAGAGTCAGTATCTAGCAGCCGAAGCGTAGTTTGACGGTAGAGTTTATGGCTCACAGTGAGCCGCAAAGCCGATCTCTGCCTGCTAGCTCTTCGCTCAACTCCTTCAAAATCCTTTCAAGTAGCTTAGAAGACCGTTTAGAGTGCTAATTGCGTCAGTGGTTGAGCTAGCATATTTGTTTGCTGTTCAAGTTGATATCATTGACCGTTGTATGTCCGTCTCGTGCTCAGCATGGCCTAGCAACACTTTCTCATAGATGTAACTCTGGCACGTACACAGGTTGTTGCAATTTTTTAATTTAAGAAAGCATCTTTTAAGAGCAGCAATAGTTTGGAAACACTTTAGACCAAATTTGAAGTCCTTACTCGTATAGGAGCTCACAAAAATCCATTAAACCGATCAGATTTTCAGCCGAAATGTGGTTTATTATTCTTGCTTCGGTTCGGTAGAAGAGTTTCGTGTCTGTAGGTAAGGAGGAGATCCTCAACACATTTGTAAATAATGTAACTTTTCGATTCTTCGTAGCAGAGTATGTTTTTCTCCATTTCAAATTTGCTGCATCTGTTACAGGTTCACGATACCCGAAGAATTTGTCTCAGACGGCTTTAGTGTTAATCAGTGCTGAGATTCTATAAGTGACCTTATAGTATCTTATTACACTGAAACTGGATACTGTATGCTTCTTGATAGCTTGCTCTCCTCTGAAAGGCAAATGTTCTATTTTTATATGTGCAACTAGTGACACCGTTTTCATGTTTGATCAGCCATTGATTTGATTTCTGAGGTCAGCTAGAATCCAGGTAAAGGTAGTGGTTCAGCACTAAACACCTTTGTGTGTCTGGTTTACTAAGCCTTTTCCTTCTCATAGCATGTTTTTGAGAGAATTATTCAGTATTCTGAATGTTTTCAGACCTCCTCCTTGGAGGCTCTTGCTGTAATAATTACATTCTCATAATGGCAGATTTTTTTTTTGTTTGTTTGTTGAAAACTTTTATTACAAATATTAAATCACAAAGTGTAGTACTTACAGTGCTTTGTGTCTTCAATCAAACTTATCATTCATATACTTATTTTTACACAATTCACTAAGTGAATTAGAAATCTAATAACGTTTATTTAACGTTATTTAACGTCTAATAACTGATTTTATAAGACACACAATGAGAACTTCACTAAAAGCTAATAAACCTATTAGATGTTCGTGGTATGCAGGGAAAGGCTGCTAATTGCACAGTTCATTCAGAACACACATTCAGAACAGGACAATTCCTGTTGGCATGTAGAATAATGGCATGAACCTTACCAAGGTTTCTAACTCTTTTAGCAATATCAGATGAGCCAAACTGCCTTCTGTCTAAATATGCTTTGATCCCATTAAAGGGGTCATATGATGTTGCTAAAAAGAACATTATTTT